CCATGCGGAGGCATGTGGGAAGGCTGCACTTGCGGCCGATGAGGGTGGACCGATACTTCTGAGCATGGTGGGCGCAGAGATGCACCTGGGCATTGAGGCAATGCCCCGGCCGAGGGACATCCGACACCTCTGCATCTTCCTGAAGCAGGACAGTCGCCTCCTGCATCCCTCGGTCACCGCGCCCCTTGGGCTGGAGGGGGCGTGCTCCGCCTGCTAGTTGCACCCCAACTTGTGCGGCTTGGCAGGGGCGCTCCTCAGCCTCCACCTCGCTCTCCGAATCGATATCCAGGCGGCGGTAACCCGTGGCGTCGGTGATGTAGCGGGGCTCCGGCCGAGCCCGGCACAGCCATCCGAACACCGACCAGGGCAGGCAGAGCAGCCATTTTAGGACCCCGAATACCTTCCGGAGTCCCACGCCGACTGCCTGGCAGGCTGTAGCCTTTCCGTGCTCGGCTAAGTCCACGATCTGCGTGTGGTCGATGGCCGCGTACTGGTCGACATGCATGGGGTGCGCCACCGGGCAGGATGCGCACTCGACGGCACGGCATAGATGCACGTTGCCGGTCTCCTCGAGGTTCAGCCGCCACTTGCGACTGGTGCGCCCCAGGACCTGCCCGATCTCAATGTTGAGTCCGTGGCGGTCCAGCCGATGCCGGTCCGCGAAATTGCAGCTGACGCGGGCCACCTGCCCGTGCTTACGCAGGAGCACGTGGTTGTACGCCCGATTAGTTCCCCGGCCGCGCACCCCTTTTGTGTAAAACTCCGTTTCCACCACGCCGCCTAACCCCGGCCCGCGCCAGCGCACCAGCAGGGGCGCCGGGGGGGGTGGGGGGGGGTGGGCGCCGGGCCCGTCGCCGCTGCGCCGCCGGCAGCACCGGGTAATCTGGTACCACGCCCAGCGGAGCCCCCCCGGCAACCCACAGCATAGGCTGAGCTGCAGTGTTGACGATAAAGGCCAGGGCACCCAACGCGAACGTGAAGATGCCCAACGCGAAGCAGAGGACCGCGGTCTCCCACCAGTAGCGGAGCATCTTAACGCCCAGCCGATCGATGGCGGATCCAACCCAGCCACCGCTCGTGCGGATCGTGCCCGTGTGGTCGGGAGAGCTCACCCACGCACCGTAGCCCACAAACTCGAAGACCCAGGCGGCGAAGCCCCAGCCTGGACCTGACTCCGTCTCAGGGGGCGGGGTGGGTGGCGGAGGTGGTGGCGGGGGCGTGCTCCGGCCGGCCCACCGGTGGGGCAGGTGCGGTCCCCACCGCTCCACCCCCAGTATCCATCCGGCCCGCGCGGCTGGTCGAGCTCGCCATCGCCCGTCCGGTTCTCCGGAGCGGATGGCTGCCCAGGCGCGCCCGTGGGCCCGTCGCTCTCCTCACGTGCCGGCGTAGCAGGGCTGCCCGAGGGCTCGCCCTTGCCTACGCGCCCGGTGCCCGCAGGGGTGGTCGTGGTCGTCGACCTCGCCCGCGGCGGCGAGGGAGTGCCTGGCGCCCCCGGGGGCTTGGCCTGCGGCCCTCGCCCCTTCCCTCCTTCAGGCGCGGGCTTGGCAGGCGGGCCCCGCCCTTTACCTTGCCCCCCACCGCCTGTCGGTAGGGCTTTCGGTCCGGGCAGGGCTGGCGGCGTCGGCGCAGGGACCTCGCCCCCCGCGCGCCCGAGCGGCAGCCAGCTCAGTGCCCCTTGGACCGAGAACGCACCACCCATAACCAGGATCATCAGGTGCGCCCCAAGGAAGCCCACAGCCATGGCACCGCAGCAGCGCCCCCTAGTCCGCGGACTAGCACGGCTGCGGTTATGGCCGCACCGCGGCCCCCCAGAACACCGGCGCGTCGGCCTGAGCCGAACGCTACGGACCCAAAATGGCTACCTGAGCCCACACCCCCTCCCACTTAACCTGCAGTCTACAAACCAATCAGACTATACAAAAACAATCCTTGGGGTGCTACCCATGGCTTTGTAAAGAAACCTGAAACCTGGATAAGGTGCGAAACTATCATTGTTTTAAAGAGCTTGCATAGTACATGAGGGCTGGAATCGTGCCGCCGTCGATGTGCATTGAAAAAGTGACTGTCGCCGAAGTATTGCTGCCTGGTTGTGTTTAAGGCTGCGTATGCACGTGTGCACTGTGCGCTGCAATATGGCTTTAAGGTTTACACTTAACCTCCAGAACAAGAGCGTGCAATCTTTTGGCTGCGACCCTTTGTGTTGAAGGCTAGCCCCGAACCAGAGTAGAGTATTCCTTCTCCGCTACCCCAATGATAAAAACCAGTGATCTACCACCTCCAAGAGTGGCTGTGTGAGGTAGGGCGTGCAGTGTGTGCAGAAGAAAAAAAAGGCAATCCTGGGGCTGCTGCCCAAGTTTTTGTAAGGTAGCCCCAAACCTGGACAAGGTAAGAGATCACCGGCGTGTCAAGGTGCCGCGCGGATGGGGGAAGAGGGGTGTATTGCAGGTCAGGTAGGGTGCAGTGCAGCAGCGGTACAACTAGCACGCTGGGGCTGGAATCGTGCCACCGTCGATGTGTACTGAACAAGGGACTGTCGCTCAAGCGATGCTGCTTGGCTGTGTCCGAGGCTGCATGTGCAATCAGGTTTTTCAGGTTTGCCCCTAACCTCAAAAACAAAGCGCGTGCAATCTTTGGGCTGCGACCCAGGTTTTTGTAGGTTAGCCCCGGACCTGAGGGGAGAAATCCACGAGTATGCGAAAATGGAGGATGGAGGACAAGAGAGATGTGTACGAAAATGAAGACATGCAGTCGTAGGGCTGCTACCCAGGGTTGTGTAGGCCAAGCCCCAACCTATTGTTTGTGAGTGCCACTGGCGTGTCAGGGGAGCCGCGAGGAAAAAGAGGAGCGGTGTATTGCAGGTCGGTGGTCATGGTATACAGACTGACTGCTGAGGTGGCTGCGCTGCCTTTCAATGTGGGTGCTTCTGCGGCAATTGACCCACTAGGAGTGCTTGATGTAGAAGTTGCGGCAGCCTGCCGTGTACCAAGTATTGTAGGTTGGTTGTTATGTCTGGTCGTAATGTTTGTCGGCTTGGACTTGGGAGCGGCCTTGTGTATCGCTGCCATGTGCTTGGGCGGTGGCTCCCAAAATGGTGCTCCCATTGTGTTCGTTGTTGCTATTAAGGTATGTCTCGTCGCGAGCTTGGTGTCCTCGTAGTCTGTCGATGTAGTTCAGGAGTGTGTGTCACCAGTCTTGTTGATGAAGATGATACGTCGATCGAAGATGTGTACCTGTTGTTCCCCGCGTCGAGCTGTTTCTTGATGTGCTGCAATTGCTTGTGCGGCTTGCGTCGGGAAGTAAGTGTGCCGTGCCGCCAATATCTGCGGTACTAGCTGCCGCCACGGGATGGCTTGTATCCATTGCTGTGTATGTTGATGTCCTCTTCAGGCGGGTACATGGTCGGTATCAAGTGTGCAGGTGGAGGAGGGTGTGGCAGTAGGTATATGTACGGCGGTGACCATTTGATCATTGCGGTGAATGCGGGTGCAGGTGTGGTTGCCGCTGTTGTATTGCTAGTGTTAGGCGTGTGCGGCGGTTGTTGGGTTAGGTGCGCTGGTGGTGGTTTGTACGGTCGCTGGTGTGGTGCGGTCGTGATTACAATGGTAGTTATGCTACTGAGTATCTATGGCTTGTTTTTTTTTTTTTTTTTTTTTTTTTTTGTGTCAGTACGCGTGTGGAGTGCTGTCTTGCTGCGTGGTTGAGGGTGGTGTGGACACTTTAGGTTGCTGTGGCTGCTGTATCGTCTGGTGTTCCGTTGCTGGGTTGTGTGTAGTCTGTTGTGTTTGTTGAGCTGGTCGGTTTGCTATTAGCGGTCCAGGATGGTGGTAGAGTGTGTGCAAGTGGTTTGTACATAGGCTGCGCTGATGTTGGTGGTGGTTTTGTTGGTATTTGCTGAATCCTTTGTGCTGTGCTAGTGATGCTGTCTCTGTCGTTGGAGCTGTCGCTGTCGTGGCGCTTGCTGGTAGGTTGTGGCCTTGTATCTTGTGGGTTGCAAATGCGTTGTAGTAGGGGTGCAGTGTCGCGTAGTCGCACTGCCCAGTTGTACTTCATGTCGTGGTCGTCGTGGCAAGTGTTGAGCCATTGTGCTACTTCTTGTATGGCTTTGATCTTGGCATTGCTGAGCGGTGTTTGGCCTCCTGCGATCAGCGCGGTGATGTGGTCCTGCTTCTGGACTACTTGTACTCAGAATGTTAAACAGTCGCGGTATTGTGCCGCAAATGCTTGTAAATCGTTGCCGTATCGTGACAGTTCGGCTGCTTGGGCGGTATGTGTAGTGGTTGGTGTGAATCCGCTTTGACGGCGTCTTTGAGCTTGATTAGCTTCGTGCAAGGTCGTAGCAGGGAATGTATAAATGGTCAGTGGTGTAGCTTGGGGTCGGGTCGTAGTGATGCTGTAGGTACTGCTTGCCGTCGCGGTGTACAAGGATCTCCTTGTTGTAATTGTTGAAATATCTGTGCCATCCAGGCAGTAGTAGGTGGTCGCTGGGGAACTTGAATGTGTATGTGTTGGTTGCCTCTTGGTAGTATACTGCATGGTGCCAAATGTCTTCTCCTTGGGTATCTTCGTCTGAGTCGGCGTAGTGGCAGTTGGCGGTCCAGCCACTGGGTAGGTGCATGTCATGGTATCTGTTTGGTTTGAGCGGTGATAGACAAGCTTCGAGACAGTCAGAAGCTCGGCCCATGGGTCGTCTCTGTCGCTGTTGTTGTCCTCTGACGCTGAAATGTCGTAACCTTCGTATTGGTCGCCTTGCCATTGGGCCGTTGGCGCGTCGTCGTTCTGTGTAGTCGCTCTGTGTCGTCGTCCTCCTCCTCCTCCTGCTCTCCCCCCCCCCCTTGGCCGCCTCCGTTTCCTTCCGTCGCTCATCTGGGGGCGGTGGCGAGCTCTGGCGGGCACCCTCGCACGGCGCGGGAGCGACCGGCGCGCTGGCCCGCGCGGCGGGCAGGCGGCGTGGGCGGGCGCCCCGCGCGGCGAGGCCCAGCCCCGACGGCTGGGCCGCGGGCGCTGCGGATCTCCTCCTCGTTCGCCAGCGTCTGCGCGCCACTCCCGCTGGCGGCGGCTCTTTATCGGCGCCCCCCCAGCAGATGTGGACGAGGAAAAAGAATCCCCCCCCCACTGGGGAAACCTTGGCCCCGCTGGGCAGCCTGTACTCCCCCCAGGTGGGGATGGGTGCCGTCTCCTCAGGGCTTCGGGGCACCCATCCCCTCCCAGAGAGGGCACGCTGGGAGAGCCAACTTACCCAGCCCTGGTAGGGGTGCTGATTGGTCTTTGGAGTCCCGAAGCGGTGCGGTGACAGACCGTGCGGTGACCTCGAAACCCCCCAAGGCCTCACGGTCCGTCAACGCACGGTTTCGGGACCTCGGATGCCCCAGTCGTCGGAAACGTCCTCGGAGAACGACCCGAATCCCAAAACCGTGCGGTGACCCCGAATCCCCACCGACTCACCGCACGGTGTGGTCACCACCCCGTTTGGGGACCCCCGATGGTCTGACGATGATGAACGGATGCCGGGATCCCGAGATCTGGGCATTTTGCAGTTGTCTCGCGCTAGGCGCTGTCGCCTGGCTTCAGGCATCGGGGCCCCTGCAGATCGATCCGGCTCGGGAAATGTCGCAGAAAGATCGGTCTGGCTCTGAGACGCCCAAAGATCGCCCCGAGACGCCAAAGATGGCCCAAGAAGCCTCTAAGACACCCCAAGAGGCGTCAGAGCGGCCTCCCAAGAGGGCCCCAAGAGGCAAATCTCTTGAATTGTCCTTAAGGTTTGAAAGGTTTTGGCGTTCTTACCTTTTCTGCTTTCCGATGCTCCAAGACGAGCCAAGAGGCCCCCAAGACCAACCCCAAAGGGCCCAAGAGGCCTCAAAGATGGCCCCAAGACGGTGAAAGAACGCCCCAAGTCGGCCCAAGAAGCGCCCAAGACGGCCCAAATGGGGCCACGGGAAGGAACACGAAACTGAAAATCCGAGCCCCAAAAGGCCCCAAGGAGGTCCCAAGAGGCCCCAAGAGTTCCCAAAGAGGCCCCAAGAGTTCCAAAAGAGGCCTCAAGAGGCTCCAAAACGGCCCCCACGAGGCTTCAAAACTGCCTCCAAGAGGCCCCCGAGAGGCCCTTCACACCCACAACCCAGGCACGGTGGCGGGATGGGCCGAAGGCTATTCGATCCGCCGCCCCCTGCTAAACTTCAGATGGTTTTGGTCCTTTCTAACTGGGACTTTCTAAAATTTCTCCTGGGACGTTCCTTAGGGCTTCGGCTCATTGCGCCGGCCACCTGGAACGCTTGCCCGGAGCCGGTTGGCAAGGCTTTTTCCGCTCCCGATGGGCCCAAGATGGCCTCCAGGAAGGCCAAGCTGGCCTCCAAGTTCGCCCAAGATGGTCCACAATGACCTCTTAGACGGCCCAAGAGGGTCCACGATGCCTCTAAATCTGCCCAAGAAGCCTCCAAGACGGCCCAAGATGGCCCAAGAGGCCCCCAAGAGGCCTCCAAGAGGTCCTCCAGGAGGGCCCGAAGAGGCCACATCACTGATTTCCCTCAGGTTGTTAGAGGATTTTGCCGTTCGCTTTGCTTCTTTTCGGCCTTCATACGGCCCAAGACGGCTCCCAAGATTGCCCCAAGATCTCCCAAGAGGCCCCCTGGACGGCCCAAGAGGCTCCCAAGACGGCCCCAACAGGCCCCAAGACGGCCTAAGAGGCATCGAATACGCCCAAGATGGTCTTCAAGACGGCCCTGAAGCGCCTCAAGAGGGCCCAGAGAGGCTCCCAAGACAACTTACGACGGCGTCAGACGGGCCAGGCGCGCCGTAAGGTGGCCAAAGAGGCCTCCAAGTAGCACCCAAAGGCCCCAAGAGGCCCAAGGAGGCCCCCAAGAGGCCTCCAAGAGGCCCCGAGGAAGTTCCCAGGAGGCCCCCCAAAATGATCCAAGAAGCTCCGAAGAGGTCTCCTCATCCTTCTCCTCATCCTTTTTCCTTCCTCTCTTCATCCGCCTCTTCCTCCCCAAGTGTTCTCCGAAGGGCGTCCAAAACGGCTGGGGGAACGCATGATCCAATATCGTGGCCAAACTTTGCCCAAACGCTTGGCCACATAGGCGTATCCTAAAAGGCAGGGGGTGGCGGCGATTCGCCGTGGGCGTCTTCTGTATAGCGATAGATGGAGAAGGAAGCGAAAGAGAGAAAGAGAGAGAGAGAGAGAGAGCGAGAGGAGGATAACGCATTCCAACCATCCCACGCGATTCGCTTCCCTCCCACGCTTCTGGAGCAACTCGGAGTGATGATCGGCGCAGCTCCAAGTGAATTCGGCCGCATGATTGCTTGCGCTGGCGGCGGCCACAGCACAACCCGTCTGCGGGCGCCTGAGGTGGTCCGCGAGGTCGGCGTACGTGATCCGCTTCCTGAGGCAGGCTAGCTGCCCAGGCCTCTCCTCTCCTGAGCATCGTTTAACCCGACCCCATCCCCATGGGCGTGGCCTGGGCCCCACTGGCCAATATATCCCCCTAGATGAGGATATAGGCCGTCTCCTTCGGGTTTCGAAAAGTATCTTCCGAACTCGATGGGCACATCCCCAACTGTGGTGGTAAACCTGTGGGGGTCTGGACGGGGATGGGGATGGGGATACGGGACGGCTAAACGATCCTGAGTTTAGCTCCTCCTCCTCGCTTTCTCGCTCGCGCTGCCCGCCAGAGAAGAGCAGCCCTGCGGCTCAGACCTCGCGAGGCGCGGTCACCTCCACCCTGGCTGGACGCGGCCCGGAAAACTGGCCAGGATGGGCCTTGGGAGGGGTCCGGGGCGAGGTTTTGGAGCGCGCTTTCGGATCGTGGGCCCAGGATGGACCTTGCCAGGATCGGTCCTCATGCGAGCGCCCAGCTCTTGGGCGCGCTCCGGCTACAGGATTTCTCGAGGCGAGTCCAAACGCGGCGACGAGTGCCATTCCAGAGCCCCCTGAGAAGGGCAGACGACATTGAAGTCCTCGCCCCCGCTCCTTGTCGTTGCCATCGTGGCTGTCCTCCTCCTCCTCCTCGTCCTCTTCCTCCTCCTCCTCCTCCTCTTC